GACAGGGCTGTCACGGGGCCTACCTACCAAGGAGGGGCCTAGCCACCAAAACTGACTCTTAAAGCTTGATGGGGAAGAGTTTTGCATATTTTTTTTTTCTGTTGCGCTAACAGTTCACCCTCGCCTGTCCACCACGTTCAGGTCGGGGACACGCAGCCACACATAGACGCACACACGGCTGCACCAGGCGGCTGGGGAAGTGGCCTGTCACACCCCAGCCACACGCACCCCAGCACCATCTGCTTCCGCGGCTCAGATCCCACAGTGATTTGGAGGCCTGACCCTGTCCTGCCCCCACCCTGCCAAGATAATTCCTTAAACACCTACACATTTTCTACTTTAAAGGAAAAATGAGCTGCATTAAAGTAAGACACTTTTTAGGAGTAAAGTGTGAAAGATTACAACATCTGTTCTGGGTTTGGAAAGCAAGATGCTCCACATTGTCTGTCTCTGGAGAACATTTAAATGAGAGGATTTGCAGCAGAGCCTGCCCTCCTCTCCAGGACCAGACACAGGCAGCAGCCATACCCGGCGCACACGCTCACACACGTTCATGGGGCTATTTATATATGTAAGTATGTATATGGTATGTACACACGCCTCGAGGGCAACCGCCAGGAACAGGTTCCTGCGGTCACGCTGTCGGACCGCAGAAGTTGAGGCTCTCAAGTCTCTATCTGCATAAAGTGCTTGGGTGATTTACAAAGCTGGGTGGGTGGTCTCAGAGGGAGACATTCCTGGGGAGAATGGAAAGCCAGGAGGCCGCATCCCCTATACTGGGCAAGGGCAGGGAAGGCTCTGGCCAGAGGAAGAGCTCACATCGGCAATGCAGTCTCAGGGCCCTGCTGTCCTCGGGTCTCACGGGGTGGCAGGTGCCCGTCCTGTGTGTGAGGCAGCCTTGGAGAGAAGCTCTGAGGGTCAGCCAGCGCGGAACCACAGCACTGATCCCTGTCCTACAGAAGCAGCAGCAGTGCCAAACTGCATGGTTGCAGACACCTGGCTCCACCCAGCGTCCCTGCAGGGAGGCCGTGGAGCTCGGCAGAGAACGTCCAGCTGCCTGGGCACAGCGGGCTGGGCCTGGGAGGTCAGGCGCAGAGGCCAGTCAGTAGGGCTGAGAGCCTGCGCTCAATGCATAGCTTGCACCTGGCCACGTTCTCCACATCAGCCTGGTCCGTGAGCATGTGCTGCAGCCCCTCCAGCAGCAGCAGTGCCTTGTGGTAGCGCGGCACGCAGCCCTCCCGGTGCTGGAACATCTCATCCAGGGCGGCCGACTGCACCTGCAGCCAAGGGCAAAGGGGCTGAGTGCAGGCCACAACCGCGACGCGCTGACTGCAGGGGCAGCCACAGCACGCAGCACGCAGCACACCCCATGCAGCAGATGGGCGGGGTGGGTGGTGGTAGACAAGTGACAATGCAGCTCAGCATGCAGGCCATTGTGTGCAGCCCAGGACAGTCAGTGTGGTCATTGCCACGGCTGGCAACGATGTCACTAGGGCAGTGGCCAGCAACACTCCTGCCTGAGAGGGGAATTGGGGGGTGGGGGAGGCAGACTTTCCCTATCCGTCTGTTTAGACTGTGAATTTTTTCTAAATATATGAATTATCTTTAAAAAGGAGGCCCTGCCTCACATCCCCAGGCAGGGAGGCCACATGCTGCATACTTC